TAAGATCTTCACTAAATCTTACTAGGTTAGCGTAAGTGAATGGTGTTAGGGGCTATATTGAGTCCTCCCGAAATTCATTATGCTTAAGTCCTAACCGCCCCCCCAGTACCTCAGAATATGACTATATTTGGAGATAAGGTCTTTAAAAAAATAATTCAGGTTAAAAGAGGTCATTAGGACAGGCCCTAATCCAATATAACCGGTGTCCTTATAAGAAGATATTAAGTTATAGATAGGCACAGAGAGAAGAGGATGTGAAGAAACAGGCCCATCTACAGGTCAAGCAGAGGTCTCTGAAGAAACACACCTGTGGACACCTTGATCTCAGACTTCTAGTCTCCAAAATTATGAGAAAATAAATTACTGTTGTTTAAGACATCCTGTCTGTGGTATTTTGCTAGACCAGGCCTAGCAAAACAACACATGCTGTTAGAGTTTCTAAATCAAATCTAATTCGGCAAAATTTCCCACTGTGATGTTATTTAAACCTTATTATTGTGTAGTTCTTTCCATTCACTAGTATCATGAAGAGAGTAAAGTTAAGGTGAAGAAAGGAAAAAGTGAGCCTTAAAAACAACTTTAGTTCTTTCAAATTTTATGCCCTATAAACTTGTCCATTCCAACCCTAACCATAACAAATTTTTGCCCTAAATTCTTTCCCCTAGAAAAGTATGTAGTGATTTCATGAAGCGTCACAGATCTCTCTTGTAGCACTTTATTCACCAGATCGCTAGATAACATTATCCCTGACAGCAACTGCTGCAACACAGTGCCCCAAATGGTCCACTACTAAGTAAAAGCTTTACCTCGATCCACCTTTTTGTCTCATACCGGAGGAAAATTAAAAGGTAAAATAGAAAATAAATTTAAATGGCATTTAACAAGCACATATCTAGGACTAAAACTATTCCTAAACGTCTGTAATTCCCCTTTTCAAGAAATAGACCTACCATATTTTTAGCTGCATCCCCAAAGAAACGTACAGCTGGGAAGTTAAGACCCAGGTGTCCACTTGCAAGAGTCAACAGACGCTCTGGAGCGGCTAGATTGTGGACCACAAACCCTGGCTCCGAAGGCAACACGGGAAACGTTCACACACGCATGTAAAAGGGTCTCCCGCACGCTCGTCCGGTCTAATACCCTTTCCTTTTCCTAATCTTGTGTTTACAAAATCGTTTGGCAAGGCTTTCAGTAGAGTGCAAATACTCCTAAGAGATTAGGCTCCCCCAAAACAAAACAAAAACTGATTGCAGACCACTGACACCTGCGCTTCAGGAACAGCAATGTCGGCGGAACACGGGAAAATACGGAGTTTTTTAGCAGAGAGACCAAAAAAAAAAAAATCAGCTAATTCCATGAAAATCAACCAACAAAAAGGTTAAGCAGAGAACTATCGAACCTGGTGCTTTGGTAACAAGGGTGACTTGTAAAGTAACTCTCCTAATAAAACAGCGCTTCCGCCTTCTTCACTCAGCGGACGCGCGAATCCAGCAAGATTTCCTGATTTCGCGAGAACTTTTGGCAGCTCTGAATGCGCACGCGTCAGAATCGGAGGCCACGTGAGCAGCCCGGATCTAGCGCGGGGGCGAGGCGGGGTGGAGAAGCTGAGGAAGGGGAGGGCCATCAAGAAAACGGTGGCCTGGGCTTCTCTGGTGGCGCAGTGGTTGAGAGTCCGCCTGCTGATGCAGGAGACGCGGGTTCGTGCCCCGGTCCGGGAAGATCCCACATGCCGCGGAGCGGCTGGGCCCGTGAGCCATGGCCGCTGAGCCTGCGTGTCCGAAGCCTGTACTCCGCAACGGGAATAGACCACAACAGTGAAAGGCCCGCGTACCGCAAAAAAAAAAATGAAAGGCGGTGGCCAACGGATGGGGTGGAACCTCAGCGGAGCTGGGAGGGCGTGGCGGGGCGGGGAGAAAGCGCGTAGGCCCCACCCCTCGCGGCTTTTCCCCGGAATAGCGTCACCCGCTCTATAAGAGAGCGTGTGGCGAAGGATTCGGCCTTTTACATCCGGGAAGCGTCGAGTTTAGGTGGAAGTATTGTGTTGTGTTTCGTGCGCTAAAATACTTAAGACAGAACTTTTGGCCAAGTTTGAAATGCAGGAGATACAACAGTCTTGTAGAAGTAGATCGACGTCAGCTTGGAAAACCTCTAGGTTCAAACTCCTGAGTGGGCTTAAATGTTCATTGATTCGCGGGGCAGCCACGTTCAACCGGGGGCGCTGAGTCGGAAAACTAGCGCCCGTGGGCCGTGGGCCGTGGGCCTTCCGGCAAAGGTTAAATGCAGCTGATGACCCCGGTTAAGGTCATTAGCTCTGCTGTTGGTGTCATGTGGCCATCTTGAATCTACTCCGACACTATGAAATAATAACACCGCATCCTGATAACCCGCCAGTTTGATCCAGGTGGTGAGTAGTATCTGTAGTTGTCCTTGCTGGTCTTTTCTGGGATTATGAATCTCCATGTATCTTTGGGACCTGTCAGCTGTGGCAGTCTCCCTTCCTAGCCATGGAAGAGCATATTCTTGTTTATTGGCAAAGCTGTCACCATCTAATTGGTATCAGATTCTGACTTGCACAAGTAACATTCTTCACTTTAAAAATCTGGAGGGTACTGGGTTATTGGGCAGACATCTAACTACTGTTCAAATGTTTTTAGGAAGCTGAGCTAATTGTTCCAGTGGATGATGGAAAACAACAAGGTACGTTCCTGTTATATATACATATTTATTTATTTATTTATTTCTGAATCTGAAACTCTTAGTGCTAACCTTATTTGGAAGGCCAAAATTGGTATATTTTGCTGGCATTTTGTAATTTAAAAGAGTAAATAGCCAACTGAATAGAAAGTAACTGAAGTAGCTGCTAAGACTCAGCACCATGAGGTAAGTACACAAATTAGAGTTTTATAAAGCTGGTTTTCTTCTCTTGCAGAAGTCAAGAAATCCAAAGCGATATGGGTGAAGTCTTATTAGCATCCTGAAGTACACTGCCAAATGTGATTTTAAATCTCAAGTATGGTATTTAAATGGAGAATAAATAAGTGCTTCCTTGCTATATCAATAAAAGCTCGATTTGTACAGATGTCAGTGTTCCCTGACTGAATGACTAATAAGTGCAAAGGTAACTACAAGTAGTGAACAGGCTACCTCCTGTTCCACTGTTGGGAGCTCGAGTGGAAGTAACATGAATTAGTATTGTTGTGTAAGGTGTTATTTGGAGAAAACTGTTATACATAAAAACCAGTTTACCCCTGAGGAAGAGAGCAGGGTCATTTAATACCACACAGAAAATTAAGGAAACTGCACAGTGAAAAGCTATGCACTTTATTTACACAGATGTGCGCTGAACACGTGCATCTTTAAAACTCACACTTAACATTTAACGAGAAAATTAAGCTATAATAAATGCATATTTTATGAACCAAGCATTCTACCTCAAGGTTGAGCAAACTGCAGGCCATCTGTTAACTATCTGTTCCTTAAGTTTGCCAGCCTCTGGTCTAGTTAAAAAGCCAATATAAATGTTTGCATCAGCGCTGTAGTTCAATTACAAGGATGGCCCATGAGGAACTTTCAGGAAGATAAATTTTCTCACCTGCATGGCAGGTTTTTCCTTTATCAAAGTCATGAGTGTTTAGAAAACGTTTTAATGCTATTCTACTTGAACTGCATTGCAGTTCTGCAAAGTAGTAAACTATAAAGCACTTTCAGGTTAGCACCAGTTGTTTTACATAGCTCAGAATTTACAAAAGGGATGCAATATGATACAGAAGGGAAAGGGATGGGGGTGAAGTCCCTCCCTGGCGAGTTAGCCATTTAAGAGGATTACTTAAGCATTCTTAATCCTATAGTTTGTACTCACCTCTTCACCTTTTTTTACTACCTGGGATTTTGAGAAGGACTCATGATAGCAGTCTACTCAAGTATCCTGAGGGCTTAGCTTTTATATTTGGGCAAAGATATTGTGCTGCTACCAAGAATGCCCTGTAGGATACATAATAAGCAGCTATCCCTTAAAACAGCCGGAGGGAAAACTTACCTTTAGACAGGAGAACCATGGGTTAGAGGGGTGGGAGGAGATGCTCTTGTCTGCATTGGGACTCTTCCTGTTCTGGAGTTTGGATTCAAAGCCTTTCAACAGCTGTGTCATCTTGGCCTCTGCCTGTTAACCCATTTGAAAACTAGAAATATTATAAAATCTTACCTTTTATAAATTGTCAATGAGGTGCATAGCCACCTAGCACATAAGTGGTATATGGATTAAACATAACAGTTATTTTAGACTTTCCCAAACTATAGACAGGGAAAACATTTTTAATAGTCTATTTTTATTAGATGGGACTGTATCAGGATAGTCTGCAGGTTTAAGTTAGTTACCAGAAGGTTGCAGTAGGTGGCACTCTTAAATCATGGTCTGGAAAACAGCATGATGCTAAAGAAAAAACATTTTTTTACCAAGCTGTAAATTTGAAGTGATTAAAAGTAATCAAGCAGATTGAATTAGGTTGTGCATTAAACAATTTGAAGGCATTCTTATGTTTTCAGGAATGCTGAAGTGTGCTAACAACATACAAGATAGCTAGAATGTTTTTCTCTTTAGTTGCCATAGTGCTTGGTACAAAGGCTTCATTCAGGAATGTACTGTGACAATGATATTCCTTTCCAGTCAGTTTATAATAGAATTCCTTTATCTTTTTTGGCCTTCGATTATCTCACGAAAGGCCAGAAAGATGTGGTCTGATATTTTTATCAGCCTAAGGAAAAAAGTCTGAGCTTAAAAAATTACATGAACAGAAAACAATGCCACTCTTATTTTTTTTTTTGGTGGGTGCGGTATGCGGGCCTCTCACTGTTGTGGCCTCTTCCGTTGCGGAGCACAGGCTCCGGACGCTCAGGCTCAGCGGCCATGGCTCACGGGCCCAGCTGCTCTGCGGCATGTGGGATCTTCCCGGACCGGGGCACGAACCCGTGTCCCCGCATCAGCAGGCAGACTGTCAACCACTGCGCCACCAGGGAAGCCTGCCACTCTTATTTTGAGTATAGTAAAGAGTTTTTTTTATGTCAAATGTAGGCTCTTTATATGAATATATACCATATTGATTCAGTTATAAAGGAGTTCTCGATCCAAGTAAATGTGAAAACAGCCTGACTGCACAATCAATATACAATAATCTCTGGAGAATGCTGAGAAACAGGCAGAGACAATACTCATGAGAATAATGAATTTAGTGTCCATTAAACTAATTTGGGTAGGCAACAATGCTAAATAAGGATAACCATTACTACACTGAGGTATCTGTAGCCAAAATGTTCACATCACAAATTCTCAAGCAGCAAAGGGGTGCACAGTTCTTACGACAACACGAAACACAGAAACACGGATCTCCGTTCCCACTAGTTGGCATCTCAGCTAAATGCCAATGTTGGAAAGTTTCCAACAGGTTCTCTAAATACTATTTTCTTGAGGTTTCCATGAAGGATTACAGTTTGGTGACACTTTTTATCCAAGGTACAAAGGCTGAGACTTTGGTATAAACACCAGGGGAATCCTTGACCCCACAGCCATATCCCCAGGAGGTCACCCCGTATACAACCCAGCTCTCTCCTGGCCGTTCACACATGAGTGGTCCTCCGCTGTCTCCCTGGCAGCTGTCCACACGTTTGTGTTCATGGAGGTTTCCAGCACAGAGCATCCTTCCTGTAAATCGACCCTTATAACGGTCTTCACAAAACCTCTTGGGAAGTAAGGGGATGGCTGCTTGTTGTAGAGTTCTTGAGTAGGCTCGTCCTATGCAGGCCAAATAATTGAATTAGATGCCAGGTAAAGATGGTAGTGAAAAGAGCTACATTTAACAGTTTAATGAACATTTAATAGCCCTATTAAAATAAAAAGCCCTATTGTGGCATTAGTGTAGTTTAAGTGGGTGATAACTATAAATGGTATTTTTTTTATTGTTTGCACTTAACCATACTCTAACTCTTCACTATTCTGTTTCTCAGTACCGCATTTTTTGAAGAATACTTTAGTAACGCTTACGGACTTGCCCAGTAGAAAAAGGTAACCTACAGATAGCACATTTGTGCAGGCTTTAGAATTTGAACTCTGTATATTAAAACACTAAGGGTGCGTTCATGCTGGCTCTGTATTAGCAAATCCACTGCTCTAGGACTCATCTACTTCACTGACTTGAGGATTAATTATAAATCTATATAAGCACATAAGGTGGCAATTACTATCCTCAAGAGAAACATGGCATTTCATAAAGATGGTTCAGAAACAACATTCTTACATAGAAACAGGTTGAAGTTTAGCCACTTGTTAACATATTCTATTTACTAGTAAGCTATTCATTCTCTATTTAGTGGCTAAAATGTATAATTGATAGGTTCTCCATGATAGCCTTTTCTTGGATCTAAACTCCACATTATTCTCCAATCCTATTTACTCAACTGGAGTGATTCATCCATAATAAAACATTCTGTAAAATTTACTTTCTTTGTCATCTCTATTCAGATGTAGTGTCTAAAGGGAGGTGACTGATTCCCTTTCCTGATGAAGTAATAATTTCAACAGCTATACTCCAGCCTTCAGTTTGCCTCAGATCAGCATAGCGTCGTGAGAAGGCATTTACTCTGACCTGATTCTATTATATCATTCAGGAAATGTTTCCACTTTTTAAGGTTTATTTCAGGATTGGTCGCAGAGCTTTTTCAGTATTGTGTATCTGCTACAGATGTTCTATATTTTGCTGCTATGAAATAATGTAAGTTTAAAGCCCAGATTTAATGTAGCATGGGATAAAATGAAAACAAATACTTATATTTACTAAATATAACCTTATTGAAATTATCACCTGTAGAAATACTTATTTGATGTTCTTTTCAGTTTTAATTACTTTTAATGGAGAGCAGTCAACCCAATCATTTCTCCTTACTCAGTCATTTGTGAGTCGAGCACCTAATCCAGGTGAGACCTAGATGTTTCGAAGACCACCCTGAGCAAGCACTAGCTGATGTTAACTCTAGCGAGACAATGCAGAAAGCTGTTTGCCTGAGAAGAGCACAAGCTGAACACTATCCTGCTCGGGGACGGGGAGGTGGGAAGAATGAGAAGGGGGTGTGGAAGGAGAAACCCAAGTAAGTGAGCTGGATCCTTCCTCTTGAACCTCAGCAGCTCTGATTTTTGTCTGTTCTTCATTTAGGAATTCTGCATAAGATTTACTTTGATAAAGGGCTCCATTACAACAAAGAAACCATCAAACACCAAAGCCCTTTGCTGGGGTAGCTACATCAAAGTCATTAGGAAAACTTTTTAAAATAGAGACAGCTAGGCCCAAGTCCTGAGTCGGGTCTAAGTTCTAATGGGAACCACAGTACCCTCAGGGTATGAATCCAGATTACACGCATGCATCTCACACTTGGCAGAATTTCCAAACAACTAAGCCTGAACCCCCTTTAAGATTTTGCTACCCACTGTACACTCAAATGTATGGATAATCCCAGACACAAGCAGGTGCCCAGATTTTAATTGTTTCTTTGGGTTATTTGTTACCTGTGTCTCCCCATCCTGTTATGTAACAGTTGGAGGCTGTTTTCTGTGGCCTCTCTCTCCGGAGTGGCAAACAGGCTGGCAAAACGTGGCTGCTGAATCTGGCACATTGTTCTTCTGGTCCTTGTAATCTAACCAGGGCGATGTCGTAGTCACTGCTGTCTGGTCGATACTCCCGGTGAATCACAATCTGCTGAACTCCAATTTCTTCCTCAAACTCCTCCGGCACCAGAGTATGATAATCCCCAACCCGAACAGCATAGTTCCTAGTGCTGTTACCATACCTGGGGGGCAGAGAGAGCTAATGGGAGGCTTGTTTCAAATGTTGTAAATTGGTAACTGTCAGCCAGGAAGGTTAATAGAGGTGCTTGTAAGTCTTTCTTCCAAATCATTAATCCCTTTTATAAGTTTAACCTTCCTTTCCTTTTCTCTGATCCCACTGCTCTCGGGCTCACACTCTAAACCCACTGTCATCACTTTTTTTCTTCATTCATTTCACTATTTAACCCAGGTTACCATCTGTTTTCTGAGAAGGAGCAAATGTGGAAAGTAAGGACTAATCACTAACCTGTCATTTCCCCACCATGAAAAAGGATCAAAACAGGAACAAAGAGTATAGGGCAAAATTACCATCCTGTGTTTGCTGTCATCATTTTTCTATCATTTCCAAGATTGTTAGTTCATCCTGAAATTCCATGAGGGCAGAAAGTATGTCTGATTTAACTCTGTATCCCCCAAAGCACTTAGCACAATCCACTTTACTCCCCTTTTCTGTGAACTGAATGCAAACCAAAACTATCTTCAGGGCAACATACATTCGTTATATGCTCTCATCTCTTAAATCTTTGTTCAGACGTCACCTCAGTAAGACCTACCTTGACATCTAAAATTGCAACCCACCCTTGCTTGTGCTCCCATCCCCCAGCACTCCCAATATCCTTAATCTGCTTTACTTTTCCTTTTTTATTAAACACTACTTTCTAACAAGTTATCTAACTTACTGTTTATTGTATTTATTGTTCTCTGCCTCCCCGCCCCCCCCCCGACCTTGAACAAACGGCACTCAAGGGCAGGGATCTTTGTGTTCACATTGAGAATAGTGATGCCAGTTAAGTAGGAATGCAGCATATGTTTGTTGATTTAGTGAATGAATGAATGAATGTTTATTTTTAATGAATGTGTCTTTTTTCCATAGGAACTATTCAATTAAAATAGAAATACAATATTTACTTGATTGACAGTTCTCAGCCTGTTTTTCAGCCAGCATACCTTGATTCTGATACATCTGCCTAAAGCAGTTTCTCAACCTCAGCACTACTGACATTTGGGACCAGATTATCACTTGTTGCAAGGGGCTGTGCTGGGCATTGTAGGATGTTTAGAAGCATCCCTGGCCTCAATTCACTAGATGCCAGTAGCATGCACACTCACATACACACACCCCAGTTTGACAGCCAAAAATGTCTCCAGATATTTCCAAATATTCCCTAGGGTGCAAATTGTCCCCACTTGAGAACCACCAACCTAAAATACATCATCCAACCCACCTCCTGATCACTTCCTCTTCCTCACTGAAGAGTATAGCACCTTGCTCGCTTTGCCTCTATAGCTACTTAAAACATTCTCAATGACTTAATTCCCAACACCTTTCCCTTTTAGTTCCCTAACCTCCTCACCTGCAGAGAGTGTTTTCTCTACTTGATCTCAGCCCCCCACCTACAGCTCATACTCACCAAATATTACACATTTTTGAAGTCTTGATTTCAAGCATCTCGTCTTGACAGTTTTACAGCTCTACTCATACTTAAGTACCTCCTATCTTTACAGTTTTACAGCTCCATCCACAGCTCTTCACCCCCACTGGACTTCAATCCGTCGGCCCCACTAGTTTTTTAATGTCATTCTCACTCTGCTTATGACTTCTTACAAGGCTTGGATTCCATCATCACTCTTTTGCAAAAACTCTCAATCCTTCTTTCCCTGATCTGCCAAAACTCCAACTCTGGCTTCATCAACTCACCACCTACTTACCGCTAGCATCTGACTATTCAAAGGGAAAAACAAACATTTAACAGCTCTCACCTTAATTTTTTTTTTTAATCAAAACTTCAATATCTTCCACTGGAAACGGGGCCTGTTCTTGAATGTGAATTTAGAGAAGTGGTATTCAAACACTGGAAGTTTCTAGTGACTGCCTATTTGAAATAACCTTTCATTTATTCCTATAACATTCTGGAAGTTATAAGTTGCTCAAAGATTCTTATAGCCCTAAGTAGGGCTCTGACAACATTGCAATATATAAAGTGATTTTCTTAACTGTGTCAGCTCAAAAAACTGAACAATGCAACAAAGATGATTTAGCTTATACAACCACCTACCAGTGATCTATGAAACTAATAATTTCCTGTGGTTCCTTGAAATTCTCCATTTTCAACCTTAAATTATCACATATCTTTAAAGTTCAGAAGGCTTTTTGTATATTGTACCTAGAGACTATCTTCTTATGGGTTCCACTTCAAACTTTAAGTTGAGGATTATTTCATATCCTGAAACTCTAAAAAGTAATAGTCATGAAGAATAATCACATATTTAAATAACTCTCACTTCTACTTTCTGTGTATTGATACTAATGCATTATAAAAATTCAATATGACTCATTAATATATTCAGGTTTTAAAGCAAAATCCCAAGTGATTTATGTTTCTAACAAGAATAACTATCAATGCATCCTTGAAAGTGCTGCTGAAATGTTTCATATATCTTTGGAATGGAATTTAAGAAATTATCTCAAGCTTCACTGTCCAGTACAGTAGCCACATGTGGTTAATGAAGCGCTTGAAATGCAGTTGGTCCAAAATGAGATGTGCTAAAAGTACAAAAATATGCACAAGATTTCAAATATTTACTATGAAAAAAGAATATAAAATATATTGTTTCTCTAGATAATAAGACTATCAGATATCTCAATTTTATATCCTATTTTGCAATGATATTTTGGATATACTGAGTTAAATGAAATATATCATATATAATATGGGTGAAGTTAATTTCAGCCATTGGTTTTTTAATCTTTTAATGTGGCTACTAGAAACTTTAAACTTATATACATGATTTGTATTTGTGGCTCACATTATATATCTAGTAGATAACACTGGTCTAGAGAAATACTATGGCATAAAGTAGGCATCCTATTTTTAAATTTTTCTTTAATGCAGTTTCTTGTGTTGCTTATAACTTTTAAGCTCGAGTTATGAGACATTCCCTTCATATGTCAACTTTTTATATTTAAGATAATTACATTACTGTTCAACCAAAAAAAAGTTATTGCAACAATATTTTCCATTCTTTGAAGAAGAGCTGTGATACAGTTAAAATAATCCTTGCATCTAAACTGGCTATATAAATATATCCTACATTATCTAAAAATTGAGTCTTCAGCCAGTGAACAAAGAAACAGGACATTACTACTGCAAGGAAATTTATTTTTTAAATATCCCAGTTTTAAAGTCTTGGGAAATCTTGCCTTAACGAGTCACTTCATGCCTGGATTACTACAGCAGTCTGCTAAATGGCCTTGCTGCTTCAAGTTTCAACTTTTTCAAGCCATCCTTCACATTGCAGCCAGAGCAATGTTTCTATCTAATAATATAACTACTCTTCTGGACACCCCTCCAGATAGATACCCTTCACTGTCTACATAGTAAAGTTCAAATTCCTTAAATGATAGGCAAACCCATCCAAGAATGGCCCTTGTCCACCTCTCTGATACCACCCTCGTCCTCGTGTCTGTGTCCCTGTCATTCTGGCCACTTGAAGAGGCATCTGACAAACCTGTCTTTATTCAGACTATTTGCAATATCATTCCCTCCACCCCTCATCCTAACATGGCAAAAACTGATCTTATCTTTCAAGTCTCAAGAGCTCCTAGGAAGCTCTTCCTGCCCTCCCTGAAAGCTAGCCAATCCTTCTTTTGAACACTCCCAGTAGCACCGTCAGAGCGTTTATAACAGCTTCTACAACTTAAGATGTCAGGTCTCCCCAGTTAAAGGCTCCTTAAGTGTAAAGACTATGTCATGCTCACTTTTGTATCCTCAGCACCAAGCAAAGTGGTTTGCACAGAGAAAGCTCTTAATAAATATATGTTAAATGACTTCTTTTGGAAGACACGTTCTGTTCACATACATACACTCTGATCCCGAACTTACAGAAATGAGACCTCCTCTCACCAATTCCTACGTTATAACAACACCATCACAAAAGTTACTTTTTAAAAAAAGTCTCCACAAAGATCTAATGTTCTCATTAATACTGGCTGTTCATCAGAATCACCTGTACCACTTTTAAGAATACAAATGTCTAGGGGCTTCCCTGGTGGCGCAGTGGTTGAGAGTCCGCCTGCCGATGCAGGGGACACGGGTTCGTGCCCCGGTCCGGGAGGATCCCCCATGCCATGGAGCGGCTGGGCCCGTGAGCCATGGCCGCTGAGCCTGCGCGTCCGGAGCCTGTGCTCCGCAGCGGGAGAGGCCACAGCAGTGAGAGGCCCGCATACCGAAAAAAAAAAGTCCCATTACTCTGTGTCTCATCTTTCTAATTATAATGTCTAATAATTTATATATTTCTGATTTTCAGAGCAGCATTCTCTGACAATTTCCAGCTTCTTTGGTGATTCTAGGCAAAAAAGTCAAATAGATAAAATCAGGTAAAGCTATATTCTTGATCAAATCAAATTTGCAGAAGAATTACAGAAATGAAAGAATCCTTGTTTTGGGCACATTCTTTCCTCCAAAGTGGCATTTGTTATCAGAACAAGCAATTAAAAGAAATTAGTTTAACATTCAGGAATTTTTCTCTCAATTATATTGCCATACCACCATAGAGAGAGGGTCATTTTACAGTACTTGTAGTAATGATTTAAAGTAGAAAATAGTGGGAGTTCACTGGCGGTCCAGTGGTTAGGACTCCATGTGTCCACTGCAGGGGTCAGGGGTTCGATCCCTGGTCAGGGAACTAAGATCCTGCAAGCCACATAGCGTGGAAAAAAAAAAAAAAGTAGAAAATAGCAAAAGCAAGCAATTTATATTGTGTAAAATTCATAGGGCAACTGCAGAAAAACTTAATTTATCCAAGTTTCTGCTTCAAACTGCCAATGGGATATTGCATTCCAAAGTCTGTATTAACACTAGGAAAAATGTGAAAAATGGGATAGAAGGCCTTTAAATGGTGATTCACCAACTACCTCAGTTACCCTCGTTAACGTTGGCATAAAAGAATGTTTTGGACACCT